CCATTTGCCCTTTTAATTTATTTAGTATCTGTCACTATCCACCCTTCCCTTCCAACACACATGCACACTAGAATATCAATAAATGATAATGGGGATCTTGTCAGTTCTTGTTCATTGCTAAATCACAAGCTCCAAGGAATGAAGTACTCGTCACATGGTTGACCGTTAATAGGTCTTTGCCAAGTCAATGAGGACATACATAATGGATGAAATCCCTAAGGAAGTGTATGTCACATGAGACCGAGATGAGGACTAATCTGTTTAGTACATCTTCTACCTTCTATTTTAGAGGTAGATGGCAGACGAGGTTCCAGGGAAGGAAACTGATAACTGATCAGAAGTATGAAGAGGATGGAGTGCAGAAGAGTGGGAGAACCGTGTGTTGGTAAAGAACAATAATCACTTTTGTCAAAGGCTTCAGAAATAGAGTAGGAGTAACTGAGTTTGACAACTGGGGGGTTATTGGTCATTTTGGGGAAACTGCAAACACATGAATCTGGGAGAACTCAGATTTCAAGGAATTGTGCCATAAAAGGAGAAGAGAATTGTAGCAGTAAGTAAAATCTTTTGTGAAGGTTAACAGTGAAAGTAAGAAGAGATTAAGATACGTCACTGGGATCTTCAGAAACAGGACTCATGAAGAGTTTTTTAATATATAAGGAGGAACTGCTGCAGGAAAAGGAGAAAGACTAAAGAAAGGTGGTTTATGAATTAAGGTCTCAGAACTTAACTGGGAAAGGATGAGATCAACCTTAGAAAGGAAGACAAGAAAGAAAGAAGAATGAATGGTAAATGGAACATCTGATGCAAATGGGAAGAACATAAAGGAATTTACATCAGATTTTGCTTAGGTAAGGTGTCCAGGTTATCTGCTAACAGTGCATGTGCGCAGAGCCCTGTGAAACATTGTGAAACAGGGCCAGGTCATAAGGCTGACACTTCTTTTGCACATTCTTCGACCCTATCTTGACTGAAGGTGAGTGGCCATATTCCCTGGAAATGCCTTCCCAGAGAATTTTGAAGGCAGGAGTTCTTTAGTTTTTGTTCATACTCAGGCTTAGTTGAGAGCCAATTATCTTTCCCCATAGGGAAATTAATTTCCAAGGAGATATCTGGGTGCTCTCGGGTTCCCTAGAATTGATACGAGGATCTCAATAGATCCCAAACTCAACTCTCTGATCCTGGGTTATGTAACTAATATGGATAATTCAAGTAATACAAGCTTCAGATTCCTTTGTACCTTAGCAATGCTGACTCATTATCAAATAAAATGTATTTACTCTGAGTGTTTCCTTTTACTTGATTTTCTTAAGAGCTGGTGACAGAGTCCACTAATATCCTATTTTAGATTATCCTATGATAACCAAGAGTTAATGCATTTATACGCTGATGGGAAAATTATGTGGTAACATAACTTCCTAGTTGTTCTTTACTGATTTCATATATATGGATTTTGTAAAAATGTGTTTTTTTGGACAAGGTAAAAGTTACACAAAGAAGTACATAATGTGCACTTTTAGAGTTAAAATGTGTATTTAAAATTGTTTTGAATTAATAAAAATTTTGTAGAGTGGTGCTTGCCTTTCTTGTGCTTTTTAATTGTCATTAATTTTTTCATTTATCATATATTAGCTGTAATGTGCAGATTCTGTTCCAGATACTGGGGATATCATTGTGGAAGATATACAGTATTTAAATTTTAAGGTTATGGGAGACAGACAGTTGTAATAAAGTAAGTACAGTAGTATGTGCTAAGAAAGAAATGTGTACAGGGTGGAGTAGAGCCCAAGGGAGGGAGTAGTCAATTTCTGTCTCAGAAGGATGGGAATCTACTGTCAAGAAAGATTATACTGATGAAATGATGCCTGAATCCTGAAAGGTAAGAAGGTGCTTTTGTTAAGTTTGCCATTAGATAATATAAAGTCTTTGAGGACTAGGAATCTCCTACAAGTTTGTGTTTGAGCACAAAGGAAGAATTTGCCAGTAAATGAAAGACTCTAAAGTTACCCAATTCTCTAAGGTTTGCAAGTTTAAAACTATTATAAAAGGTATTTTTTACAATTACCAGTAGGTGGCAGTGTTACCCCATGAAAAGAGACTACTCCCCAAAAGTTGAAGATGACTCTTCAGTTTCCAAACCTGACAATGAGGGTTTTCTGGGTTAAAAATGGATGAGAAAAAAAGTGAGTTTGAAATTTTTTTTCCTCTGCAGGCAAGTTTTATCTTGAATAAGTCAATGTCTGCCCTCTCCACTTCCCATTCATCCTGAGCCCTAGAGATTTCCATAAAATTGACTTGGACACCTCTCATTCCAAGGCCTGTGGGAGTCTAAAGCCCTCCTCAGGATTTCTGCACTCCATTGACCCAGAAACAAAACGGAGCTCCCTGCCTAAAAGCCCATTCACATTAAACATTCATGACTTTAAGAGCCTTTAGTGAAGATTTGGAGAAAGGATAGCAAGCTGAGTTTCTATAACAGCAATGCAAACCTCAAATGAATCAGGCAGCCTCTCAGGTCTCAAAACGTCCTTTGGCCACCCACCACCATGGGGTTTTATTGAATTCTTTTGTTTCAGCTTTTATCTAGTTGGTTCCTCTTTCTCCCTTCTTGGCCCTGTCACAGCGATATCCAAATCTCAAGTGTACCATTAGATAAGTTTTGACTGATACAAAAGCCAGGGTTACCCAAAGCCCTATCAAGATACAGAAAATTTCCATAGAGGAATTATTTGTTTGTTTTTCCACACAGAGGGAGTATAAAATGGTTAAATTCTAGACTTTTTTAGGTCTGCATAAACTGTTGGGAGGGAATTACTTATTGTAGTCAAAGGGATTTTTACTGAGTTTTATTTTGTAGGTGTAGAAACACATCTTAGATTAAGGTCTGCATCTGTGCCTTTTTTTGTTTCAGTTTGATCTCTGTGATAGAAGTAAGCAGGAACAGTCAGAAGTGAAATGGTCAGTGCCTGTGAATTAAGAGCAAGAACTTGGTTTATTTATTTTTTTAATGTATCTCAACTACTTGGAATGCTTTATACCTTTGGCATTCAATAAATATCTTGTCTGTAGACTATCTGCTACAAAAACTTACTGGGTCTATTTTATAGCTATTATTTGTTCACCTAGAAAATAATCATGGGATCATAGAAGTCAAAGCCACAGAAAGTGTCACACATCTTCCTCAGCTGTTCATCAGTCACTACTTGAAATAGGGTTAAAGGTAGAGGATGTGATACTAAGAGCCTTTCAAGGACACAGAGGTGAGGAAAGAAGGGCAGCTAAATTCAGCAGAAGAGTGTTGACGGCCCAGCCATAAAGAGACCTGGATTCTGAGTACTCCTCTGGTTCCTATTAGAGTTCAAACCCAGTGCTTGACCTTTCCAGGGCCTGCAGTACATGTAGATGAGTAGTTACTGCTCCCTGAATGTGTTTATATGGAAAATGCCTGATACATTCCTTAGAGGAAGGAATATATAGCAGAAAACAGTAGCATGTTATTTTATTAAACTAAGTTATAGTCAAGGAATTCAGATATACTTTTAAATGCTACACCAAATTTCAATACCCCAAATGCCCACTGAAGCCCATTACAAACCATTGCTTGCCATTCTTTGTTTATGAGTGTGTTTCCCACTTTACTGACTTAAAGTCAAATATGTGGAGTGAAATCTGTCTCTGAATTGCCATCTTGGTTACAAATTATCTTCTTCCAAGATGGAAATTTTCTCCAGAAGAAATAGTATTTTTGTCATTGTTAGGTAAGGGGAATAAAAATTCACTCTAACTAGTTTAAGCAGAAACAGGTTCATAACAGAGTATTAAACAGCTTACAGATTGTAGGTTGAGCTTCCAGGAATGGTTCCCAGACTGATACTGGCTGTCAGGGGATTGTTTCCTTTGCCACAGTTAGGATGCTGTAATATCAGAAAGACGCCATCACCACAACTATCAGTTCCAGAGCTTCTGCTATGAACAAAAAATAATCTGCCAATTTAGGAAGTTGCTCTTCCAGCTGCTATCCCAGACTATGCCACTGCTGTTCCAAGTCACCAACACAAGTGGATGCCAGAGTCCAATAAAATCTGGAAACCTGGGTGAAAGAGATTGGGAAATCATTTTTAAGCTTTTTAGCCCTGGCATTGTAGAAGAGGTTAGGGCATGTACCGAGTGAGCCATTTTCTCAATGTCTAGTAGAAATATCTAGCATTTGGAGATCTGACCAAGATGGCAATATAGGAGGCTCCTGAACATTCCTTCTTCTGTGGATGCACCAGATGTACAGCTATACTGAGAAAAGTACCCTCTGAAACAAATCAAAAAACTAGCTGAGCAACTCCACACATTGGGCAGAAGACATAATACCAAATGGGTAGGAAACGCTGAGACATGCTATAAACCCTTCCCTTGTACAGTGTCATAAAATTAAAAGGAAACTCCTAACTCAGCTTCTCTGGGGAACAAAGAATTTGGACTGCACATCTAGCACACCAGCTTATGACTTCCAACTGAGGTACTGCAATCCTTTCTGTGACACAGATGGATCTCACACACCCTTGCCTACTGGGGGCCATTAAGAACAAAGGCGGTGGCTTGAACGATCATAAAAGTTTTGAGTGATGACCAGGAGCTTGGGTGGAACTGATTGATGAAATTCATCTACATGAGACTACTCTGCCAAGCTGGGAGAGGTGGCTTTTATATCTAATGTGCAGAAATCAGCAGAATAAAGACATCTAGATTGGAAAGCCAACAGGGTTTTCCATCTACAAGACCCACCAGACTGTTGCATACAAAGAAGCAGTTCGCAACAGGTGTGAAAGCACTTGACACAACTGTCTCCCCAGGATCAGAGTAGAGGGAGGAGGCAAAAAAGCGCCCATCTTTCAGTCTTTCACTGAAAGGGATCCAACTGCATACTTTACAAGTTGCTGTCTGAGGCTCCAGTTTTTAATTTTAACATGCATTAGGGGCTCTCTGCAATACTTCCCTGAGTCCAAAAGAGACAATGGGCTCTTCCCCTGCCTCATCTCTCTGGCTTGCTTCAACAATAAAACCAAATCACCAGTATTTCCCTGAAAGCAGCTTCTACACACAGCTGACACCTCATTTTGCAGCTTTTGCCTGAGGGAGAGGCCCCCAGGTCATCTAGCTCTGGTAGCCAATGCAGAGTCTCACAGGATTGTAGCAAAGAAAGAAGCAGTTCCTAATAGGTGGGAGCAAGTAAACACTTGCCACAGCTATGCCCCCAAGGCTCAGCACTGAGGGATAGGACAAAAATGCCCATGTTGTAGTCTTTCCCTAAAAGGGGTCTGACTGCATACTTTACATGCTATTGTCTGAGGGTCTGACTTTTAATTTAGCATGTATCTAGTGGTTGGCTGTGATATCCTCTAAAGACGGGGGAAGCTTGGAAATTTTCATGGCCTTTTCCATTCAGCTAAATACAACAATAAAACTTAATTGCCAAGATTTCCCTGGAAGGAGCTTGTACACATGTATGGGCCCCCAGCTTTTGTGGCTATAGTTTGAAGGATGGGCCCCCAAACTACCTAGCTCTAATAGCCAACAGGGCTTGCATGCATGAGTCCCATAGGGCTATAGCAAACAGGAAATTATTGATTTATTGTTTGTTTTTTTAATTTTTTAAATGTTTATTTACTTTTGAGAGAGAGACACAGGTGTGAGCAGGGGAGGGGCAGAGAGAGGGAGGCATAGAATCTGAAGCAGGCTCTGGGCTCTGAGCTGTCAGCACAGAGCCTGACGACGGGGCTCAAACTCACAGACCATGAGATCATCACCTGAGCTGAAGTTGGATGCCCAACTGACTAAGCCACCCAGGTGCCCCTATTTATTTATTTATCTAAAATATATTTTATTGTCAAATTAGTTAACATACAGAATATACAGTATGCTCTTGGCTTCAGGAGTAGATTCCCATGATTCATCACTTACATAGAACAACACCCAGTGCTCATCCCAGCAAGTATCCTCCTCAATGCCTGTCACCCATCTCCCCACCCCCAACTTCCCTATTCAACCCTCAGTTTTTTCTCTGTATTTAAGAGTCTTTTATGGTTTGACTTTTGTAACTATTTTTTTTTCCCTTAAGTAATTTTTAAATGGGTGCAGAAATACCCCTCTCTGACTATATACCTAGGCTTGACACAAAGGGAGTAGGCAAAAATACTCATTACCCAGGTTCTCCCTGCAAGGGACTGAACTACATACTTTTATAGTTGCTGCATGAGGGTACAGGTTGTAATTAGCCTGCATCCAAGTGATGAGGGAGCAAGAGGAAAGCTGATGGCAGAGTACAAGCTAACACCGCCAAGCCCCCTACCCCCTTCAAGGTGGGATATGTGTGACATTCCTTAGACACTCCTGGCTGCCCAAGAACTAATGAAAGGGAAAAACAAATTGTTATAGAGATCACAGTCATGCAGGACCTGAGTCTCCATCAGTTTGCAATTGTCTTAATGATTTACAAGAAAAAAAAATCTCAATAATTAGACCTCCGGAAACTTACAGAGTCAATTTTCTGGAGCCCTAATATCACCCCCCTCCATAGGATATGAAATCTTACATATTCAGTCACTCCTCACACTTATAATGCAGTTCTTTCTACCAATGGGTCCTGTTTCCATGCTAAAATAAAAACACCTTTTTTGCAACAAAAATGTTTCAAGAATTGTTTTTTGGCCATTGACTCCAGAACTCCACTCTAAACCGCATCACAAGTGCTGACTGTAATCCTCCCCTTTGTGATAAGAGTTGGGGGTCTTACATACCCTTACCTACTGGGAGCCACAAGAACAAAGATGGTGACTTGGACAGTCATAAAGGTTTGAGAGACAATTAGGAGCTGATTGACAAACTTCATCTCCTACACGAGACCATGCTGTCAAACTGGCAGAGAAAAGTTGATTATAATAATAAAGGAGTCAGTTCATTAAGAGGATATAACATCTGTAAATACTATGCACTGAGTACCTAAATATGTAAAGCAAACACTAACAGTTCTGAAGGGAGAAATAGCAATAAAATAGAGGGGAACTTCAGTATCCCAGTTTCAACAATAGATAGATTGTCCAGACAGAGAATCAATAATGAAACTTGGATTTAAATGACATGTTAGACCAGATGGATCTAATAGACATATACAGAACATTTTATCCAAAGCAACAGAATACACATTCTTCTCAAGTACATGTGGAACATTCTCTGTGATAGGTCACGTTAGGCTACAAAACAACTCTTAGTAAATTCCAGAAGATTGAAATCATATCAAGCATCTTTTTTGGCCACAGTATTATGAAAGTAAAAATCAATTACAATGAGATTGGAAAATTCACAAATATTTGGATATTACAGCATGATTCTGAAGAAAAGATGGGTAAAAGAAATCAAAGGAAGTATCTTGAGACATATATGAGCACTGGGTGTTGTATGGAAGCTGATTTGACAATAAGTTATATTAAAAAAATTAACGCAAGGAAAAAAAAAAGGAAACACAACATACCAGAACTTATGGGATGCCACAAAAGTAGCTCTAAGAGAGAAACTTATAGTGATAAATGCCTACATTAAGGAAGAAGAAAGGTTTCAAATAAACAACTTACTTTACACCAAGGAACTAGAAAAAGAAGAACAAACTAAGTCCAAAGATAGAAGGATGGAAATAGCAAATAGAGTGGAAATACATGAAATAGAGACTGAAAACACAATAAAAAAGATCAGCGTAACTAAGAGCCGGTTTTTGAAAAGATAAAATAGACAAACCTTTAGCTAGACTCATCAGGAAAAAAACCCTCAAAATCAGAAATAAAAGAGACATTACAACTGATATTACAGAAATACAAAGGATCATAAGAGAACACTACAAGTAGTTATACCCCAACAAATTGAAAGAAACAGATAAAAGAAATAGACAAATTTCTAGAAACATACAGCCTACCAATACTGAATCATGATAAAACAAAATCTGAATAGACCAATTACTAGAAAGGAAATTGAGGCAGTAATCAAAACCTCTCAACAAACAAAAGTTCAGGACTGGATGGTTTCATTGGTGAATTCTACCAAACATTTAAAGAATTAATACCCATCCTTCTCAAGCTCTTCCAAAAATAGAAGAGGAAGGAACAGTTCCAAACTCATTTTAATAGGTCAGCATTATCCTTATATCAAAGCCAGATGAGGACACTACAATAAAAGAATATTACAGTCTATTATCTCTGATAAATGTAGATGAAAAAATCCTCAAAAGTTAGCAAACCAAATTCAACAATGCATTCAAAGGATTATATACTGTGATCAATGGGACTTATTCTATGGAAGCAATGATGGTTCCACATCCACAAATTAATTGACATACAACACTTTAAAAATAAAGGATAAAACATTTTTTTTTAATTTTTAAAAAAATATTTATTTTTGAGAGCGTGAATGCGAGCTGTGGAGGAGCAGAGAGAGAGGGAGACACAGAATCCAAAGCAGGCTCCAGACTCCAAGCTGTCAGCACAGAGCCTGATGAGAGCACAAACTCATGAACCGCGAGACCATGGCCTGAGATGAAGTCAGACACTTAAGTGACTGAGCCACCCAGGCGCCCCTATTCTGATCATTTCAATAGAGGCAGAAATATTGTTTGATAAAATTCAATATCCTTTCATTATAAAAATTCGACAAACTGGGTATGGGGAGGTACCTCAATGTAACAAAGGTCATATATGTCAAGCTTACAGTTAACCTTATACTCAATAGTAAAAAACTGAACCTTTCCTCTAAGATTGGGGGCAAGACAAGGGTAACCACTCTTGCTGCTTTTATTCAAAATAGTACTGGAATTTGTAGCCCGAACAATTAGACAAGAAAAAGAAATAAAATAATCCAAATTGAAAAGGAACAAATGAAATAATTTTTTTTTTTTTTTTTTTTTTTTTTTTTTTTTTTGCAGATGACATATAAAGACCTCACACTGAAACTGTTAGAAGTAATAAATGAATTCGGTAAAGTTGCATGATACAAAATCAAAATACAAAAATTAGTTGCTTTTCGGGACCCTAACAACAAACTATCAGAGATAGCTCCACTTTCTCATGAGGCTTATGACTACTCTCTCCCTTCCAGGATAGTTATTTTTATCTTCCTGACCATTTTATTACTGTATATATTTTTCTCTTTTTTGCATGTGCTGAGCAATTTGTTTTTGTTTTGATTACTAGATTTTTTTTCAGTTCAGTCTTATACATATCTCTGTCCTCAACACATAGTATTGCCTGATACACAGTGAGCACTTAGTAAATGAAGTACTTGTGTCAAAAGGGTGATTGACTAAAAGAATATTAAGGGATAGAAGGGCATGGTTATAATTAGAGTATAGAATAAGAACAATTAAGAGTGAAGAGTATAACAGGTGAAAGGAGGGAACTTGTATTCAGCAAGGCAAAATAAAGAAATGGTAAGGTCAAAGATACAGTGGTGCAGGCAGGTGATTCAAGAGATGGAGAAGGATATCAGAATTGTATTGGCTGAGGAACCATGTTGGGAGTGTTTACCATGGAAGGTGTAGTACGTGAAGATGGAGTAGAAGATTGAATAACCATGGTAAGATAGTAGAAAAAAAAAACACTATCTTGCCAGATAGTACATAATAGTGGACATAGGATGATCTGAAGTGATTGGTATAGAATTTCAATGAGATTCAGTTGCCAAGAATTGGTATTAGATCAATACCTGCTTCTAGGCAGGGGGGAATAAGGGGAATGCAAACATGTCCTCTTTGCCCCATGAACTCCATAAGAAAATGGGAGAAGGAAGGATCTTCACTGGGAATGGTTTTTTTTTTTTTTTTTTTGAATGGTAAAATAGAGTAAATATCAGTACAGGTGAAAAACTAAAAAATACAGAGAAGCCAAAAGAAAAATCTAAAAAATGCCTAAAACCTGCTCTACCATCAGAGACCCCAAATATTAATTTTTTTCTGGATTTTTTCTAGTATAAATACATACC